ATCTGCAAGTTATTGATAATGAAGCACTTTGATAGTATAAAGGAGATCATAGTATGTATATTTTTATGTGGTATTTTATATTTTAATCTAATATTGTGCATAATTTCTTTGTAGACAGTGTTTTTTACATGGTTTGGATATTTATTGATTGAATCATGAATTAGTATGTGTAATCCTTTTGGGGTTGTGACTCTGGACAAAGCAACATATAACTGTCCATGAGTAAAAATTTCACTTTTTAGATATAATCCAATTCTATTTAAGGACTGTCCCTGGCATTTGTTTATTGTCATCGCGTAGCAAGTTTTTATAGGAAGATGTCGTCTTTTTAATGTAAATTGCCATTTAAATTCATGTACTATCATTTCTATTCTTGATATATAGACTTTGTCATTAGTGTTGTTTGAGCTTATAACTTGTCCTTCTATAATTTTATTTGTTAATTGTGTAATAATAAGTCTTGTTCCATTTCATAGCCCAATGGATTGATTTAGATTTCTTAATAACATGATAAGAGTTCCTAGTTTAAGGTTTAGTTGATGAGGTGGAATTCCGTTAAAGTCCAGAGTGTGTAAAAATTCTCGAGGATATAAGAGATTAAGTTCATCTATGTTTTCGTACGAAGATACGATTGTGTCATAACTATAATAAGATTTCAATTGTCCATGGACTAGAGATAGTATGTAATTGTTAATATCCTTGGTTGTTTTATTTTTTGGAGTTACTATTGCTCGTTGTTTCAGGTAATTGTTGAAGTTGTTATATACTATTGTTGAAATCCTTTTAATTAAATTTGATTGATAATGCAATATATATTTTTCTGGTATTTTTATCTATGTGCTATTTTTATTTTCTAAATCTTTTATTCCCTCAGCAGTACATTTTAGACATTAAATATCCAGTCTGAAAATGCTGCAATTTCTCTTGTTTCTTCTTTTGTGCCATTGTAGTATCTTAATCTCATGTTTTCTGTTAGTGTTAGAATCCAGAAATGTGGCCATAAATGAGAATTGTTTATAGTTCAATCTATTATGTGTTCTTTTGTTCCTGTAGGGATAACTGGTAAAATTTGTCGGAAGTCACCTTTTAAGATAACTGTCATTCAGCCAAATGACCGTTCAAAATTATTTCTTAAATCTTGAAGTGTCATATCGAATGCTTCAAAATAATATTTGGTTGTCATGGGTGCTTCATCCCACAATATGAGCGATGTTTTTTCAATCAGTTTTGCTAATTGAGTCCCTTTTTTAATGTGACGGGTAGAAAATTTATCTATTAACAGTAGTATTCGAAAACTAGAGTGTGCGGTTCTTTCATTAGGTAATAATAATGAGGCTATTCTGGAAGATGCAACAACAAGAACTATTTCACTATTTGATCTTATTTTTGTAATTATTGCATTCCACAAATATGTTTTTCCAGTTTCACCGTGACTGTAGTGATTCTAAAATTTGTTGGTAAATAAGTTCTTGTTGGTGGTTTAAATTTTGTACTAATCTAGTCTTTTTTTCTTTTAATTAAATTTTATAAATATTGTAGCAAAAAAGTTCGATAAGTCATTCGAACTCATAAAACAAATGCATGATAAGTAACTCAACCTTTTCTCCCCACTTCTACCATAAACCCCAACCATAGTTTTCCTTTTCTCTTATAAGGGAAAGAAAAACAAAACAAAACAAAAAAGTCTCTCACTTGCTGGATCTTTCTCCTCCAAACTCCATGGCCGACAAAGCAAAGCACAAAAATCTCCTCGCTCATGGCTCCACCACTCTCCTCTGAACCTCAATGGCCTTGTCTTTATCCACGAAACGAGACGAGCCATGCATAGAAAATGGAGGAAGAAGTAGAAGTTCAATTATCACACCGTTAAAGAGTAGGTACGGCTGGTCATCTCTTTCCAAAAAATTTTCTGTACATTTGTAAAATAATATATATATATATATATATATATATATATATATTTTCTGATGCTCGGTGATGTTTTAAGAGTTTACACTCTAAGGAGATGTTAATTTGTATTTTTTGAGTTAAGGTGACTTGAGTTCAGATTTTGATTTGAGTATAATTTGAGTTGAGACTTTAATTTGAGTTCGTATTTAGATGTGCATATTTTGAGTTATGGTTTGAATTGAAAATATATTTGAGTTTGTATTTTGGTGGAACAAAACTTGAATTTGTATTTAAATAGTATTTTAATAAAAACTCAATGTTGATAGAAAATTTTAATAGGTATATGGGTGAGCTTTTATTCGTCTCTTCGTCGTGAACGCATATAAAAAAATCATTTCAATAGGACCTGTTCATTTGTATATTTTGAGTTAAGGTGACTTCAGTTCAGATTTTGATTTGAGTGAAGGTATATTTGAGTATAGTTTGAGTTTAGACTCTAATTTGAGTTCGTATTTAGATGTGCGCATTTTGAGTTATGATTTGAATTGAGAATCTATTTGAATTTGTGTTTTGGTGGATCAAAACTTGAATTTGTATTTACACTCTTAGGACCTGTTCATTTGTATTTTTTGAGTTAAGGTGACTTGAGTTCAGATTTTGATTTGAGTTAAGGTGTATTTGAGTATAGTTTGAGTTAAGACTCTAATTTGAGTTCGTATTTAGATGTGCACATTTTGAGTTATGGTTTGAATTGAGAATCTATTTGAGTTTATGTTTTGGTGGATCAAAACTTGAATTTATTTTTGGATAGTATTTTAATAAAAACTCAATGGTGATAGAAAATTTTAATAGGTATATGAGTGAGGTTTTATTCGTCTGTTCGTTGTGAACACATATAAAAAAATCATTTCCATAGGAATTAAAATGAAAAAGTTATAACGTTTTCAAAAATAGAAAAAATATTATTCTTTAATTTGAGTTTGAGTTTATAAACTTGAGTTGAAAACAAAATTTAAACTCAGATTTTAGTCATAAATTCAAGTTAAAACTTAAGTTTAAATTCAATTTTACAAAAGAATATGAACTTGAATCAAATTATAACTTGAGTTTAATTTTTTTTTTAAATTTGGGTACAAATGAAGCCCTAAAAAACTTACCAGTGCAGTGTATGTCTGTATTCCAAGCCTTATCCTTTTTGCCGGTTGCCTTATCGGTGGGCCTTCTCTGTAGCAAGTGCCACTAGCTAGAATTTAAAGGCAGCTGACCCACAAAATAATAGAAGTTTAGTTAGATTCCGTTTATTTTATTAATTTAAGTTTAGAATTTGAGTTTTGTTATAGAAAAAAATTTTTATTATGTATTTGGTTGGTAAATTCGTATTATGATTTAAATCATGATTCGTAGTTCGCTGTAGTGTTTTCTATCATAAAAAACACATGTAAATTAAAAATAGTTTTGAATCATGGTTCTAAATTTATGAATCAAATATTAATTAAAAATAATCATATTTAATTTTTCTATTACAATAAAAAATTCTCATATAAAATTATATTTTAACTTAAATTAAAAATTCGAATCAATAAACTAAACGGACTCCTAATAAACATTACGCACCAACTATTTTCTTTAGCGGCCGAAAAAAAATGCAACAAATATTTCTTCCTGGATTGGAACCAAAAAAAAAACAACAGAACAAAAAACAAAGAAAACTATTGTATATTGGATTTTAGGGGAAAGAGAAAATACAGTAAAACCTCTAACATTGGCAGCTTTATTTGACTTTTCTAACGTTGGTATTGCCAAAGAGCAATGTCATTCTCTTATTCCACAGCTAAAATTTGGAACGTTGATTATGCTATGAATAAAATAAGGGAATAGTAATTTTGTGGTTTTTGTGTTTCATCGAATTAATAGATTGATATTTTAATATTTAAATATACTACTAAACCGATACTATATTTTTGTAGGAAAAAACCGATATTATAAATATTACTTAAGAAAGTATCATGTTATTGTGAGGCTTTCTTAGACAAGATTTTTTGTCATTTTTATTCTTTTAATCTAAAGACATTTAAAACAATTATTATTTAAAAAATAAATAAAACCCAGTTGACGACCTAAAAAAAACATATGTAATTTATAAAAAAAATACAAATCTAGATAATCCACTCATGTAGAATTTAATTAATTGAAGATATTAGTTTACAGTTTTCATTTAAAATGTTGTAAATACAGTTTTAAGTCTGAAAAAATGGGCAAGTACTCGAAGGTTTTCTCAAAAAATAAAAATAAAAATAAAAATAAAACAGTAAAATAAAATACATGTTTGGTTTATCTAAATATTAAAATACCACTATAATAAAACACAATTTATGAGGATCGAGTTCTCCTAATTATTACTTAAACAAATTACTTGTCATAATATAACTTTCTAATTTAGCCATGGAATAAGAGATTGACCTTATTATTTGGCATTTGACCTAAAGTGTGAAGAGTCAAATACAGCTGCCAATTAACACATCAGCACTTTAATCACATGCCAAAGAAAAATGCTTAAAAATGCTTAACAATACCATTAGTACTAAACACTACCATTTAATAGAAAATAAACCCATCTTAAATGCCTTTATACTGTAAAATTCACTTTTTATTAAATAGTAATACTTAACAGATACCCTATAACATAACTCAATATCAAAACTCTTTTTCTTTTTCTCTCCCATTTTTCCTTGGAATCTAACACACGAACTATTTTATGTTTTCCCCTTTGTCTTTTTCCTCTCTGAACTTTAATTAGGAATTCTCCTTTCTGAACTTGATCAGCTAGTCACAACCATTTTACTTCACCTAACAATATTCTGTACTTAAAAACGGATATAAATAATCACCCCTTTTTTGGCAAAAGAGAAGAAAAGAAAAATACAATGGATATAATGATTAAAAGTCTGTTTTTTATTTTATTTTTCTAATCAACTTCAATTGCATGGCATGCAATGCGTCCACGTGGTAGATTCCTAGCCTTATACTTTCATAATCTAAGCAAAAGTTCAGAGGTTCAGCTTCTTGTAAATTAAATGCTTGCTGTCTTGATGGCAGGGACTTTCTTATACGACTGAACACTCTCTCTCTCCTCTCTCTCTCTCTCTCTCTTTCTCTCTCTCTCTCTCTCCATTTTTTTCTGGGCAATGTTTTTCTCTTCATGTTTTCTGGGTCTGTACTTTTAGGTTCTTGGATTGGCGCTACTTCCCTCATCACAATCGATTTAACGGATGAGCGGTTTGTGGGTCTCCACAGCTAAAGATTTTTTTATTTTCTTCTTCAAATGGGGTATCTCTTAAATTATTATTTTTATTTTTTATTTTTGGTTTTTTTTTTTCTTCTCATGAATATGGCTTCTGTTATATGTTTCTGAAACTTTCTTGCATGTTTGAGTAATGAATTCTTCTGTCGCTTTTCAGAAATTTCGCTATATATTAAATTTATCTTCTAGAAGGTTATATTTTATGTGCTTTTTCTTTGTTTATTTTGTTTGGTTTCTTAATTATTATTATTTTTTTGTTAGGAATATGTATAATTTTGATGCTGTTTTATTATCTTCCAGAAAAGAATAAATAAATAAAATTTAAGATTCCTCCTTCGTTCTTCTAACCACTCAAAGAAACTGTCTCTAGTAAGTATGAAGAATGCAATCACACATTCCGCAAGATTTAGTCATACATTTCTAGAGACAACCCTAGAACTAATTGTTTGTAATAATTCATTATTTGTAGTTATGTTTAATTGAATTAGAGAGATTCAGGGAATATTAAAGTAGAGTCACAAATCAATCAGTTGTGCAAAGCCTTCCGATTCCAAACTCAATGTAAATCATAGTATAATCTTTCTTATTTATGTAATTTTCCTATTCTTATGCTCACAATCTTAGTATGTATAAATCATAATATATATGTTGGGTCAATTGGTAGAATTGACCCAACATATATAGTTAAACTCATGGCAGGCTTGAATTGTAAGTACATTAATTTATGGGATTGTGGTGTGACTTTTATTTTTATTTTTTGTTTGTGTGTTCAGGGTTGTGTCTTGTTGTTTCATACGGTTTTGTTATTACACAACATATATACAACATATATAATTGCTCTCTTCTTATTTAGGATTGAAGTATTTGATTTTTTCTTTACTTAATTACAAGCGTTCTTGAAAGTGATTGCACGTTGACGTTGTGTGTGTTTGTGTTGTGCATATGTAAATGGAAATAGAAAGTGATTAGAGGCCAAGTTGGAGGCCTAGAGCAAGGAACAATTGATGACTTTTAGCAATGAACGATCCATCACTTTGTTTCCACTTTTGTTATTTGGTTAAGCTATACTGTATTATTGTTGTTTCACTTTAGTATTGATTCTTCAATGTCTAAAGATAAACATTTGAAGGCTTAAGCTATTCCAATTGTTTGGATTTTATCAAAATACATGCGCATTAGGATTGATCGATTTTCAACTTCCTACTACTGATTGAGGTTAAGCATTATTATTTGTGACAAGTGAAATTTTCACTCTTTCATTTATACTTCATGGTGCAATGGTGTCATCTAGCTCCGACTTAATTTTGCGTTTGCCTTTTGCATTTTCCATAGAAAAGAAAGAAAGGTACCACTTAGGCACTGTAAGAATCCACGCGTTGCATGACTTCAAATGAATTGCTTATAACATGTCTCTAGCGTAATTTTCAGTTGATATTCAGTCCAGGAAATTTAATCTCGCTCGTTGTGTTGCGTTCCACATCTAATGGAAGTTGATTTTTTTCTTTTGTTTTTTGTGTTCAAAGCTTGTACGCTTAGCATGAGAGAAAGTACTAATCTGGTAACTTTTGGCCATAGCAGGATTGCTCATTTAAGAGTTTATTGATCCAAAAAAAAGAAAGAAAAATGAATGCAGACAATGAGAACATAGAACCGTCGACTGATTTAGGACTTGCTCTGGGTTATTCAAGTCAGTGCGTAAAGAGAAGACTGAACAATGGTTCAGGTGCAGGTGCAAATGCAGGTTCAGGATTAAACATGACATTTGTTGCCCAGAACCCCTTGTCCGAACTAGTTTGGTCTCCGCATAAAGGTTTGAATCTAAAATGTGCTGATTCCAGCTTGGCAGATTCAAAAACCTCACTTTTCTGGGGTGCAGGTCCAAGCAATGTGGCTCTTTTACCAGTGCAAGGCATTACAGTCAGGACAGACAAACAAATAAGCGGAGAGAATTTTCAAACATCAAATACATATTCACTTCAAATGACGAGTGAAGTTGCCCGTGTCATGCATGTGCACGCACCGAGACGTGAGGATGAGATAGGTAAGAATAGTTTTAAGGTACATTGAGTTTTTGGGTAGCTTGGAGAAGTTAAGAGAAGACAAAAGAGGCACTGAAGTGTAGAATGGAGAATATGAATATTCTTCTTAGTGTTGTATTTGATTTATTTACTGATTTTCCGGGGTCTGAGGAACTTATTATTTGTGGCAGGAATTGGTGGTGATACCGAGGAAATAGATACAGCTCATGGAGCAACTGTTATGAAGACTGATCAAAAGGAGGGGCTAGGAGACAGGAAAGGAGTTGGCGTTTCCGGTCGCATTGAATCCCAAATAGTTAAAACAACTGAGACCAGGGAAACCAATTTTTTAACCCTTCCAGGTGAATTCTGCTATCAGATAAAACATTTTTGAGTATTGTGGGAAAGTAAATTCACTAGATAAACATTTTTTTTTTTTTTTTTTTGGTGAATGATGTGAACTTAATGATCGTTGCTGAAGCAGATCGTGTGCTCAAATTTGAAAGACGCGCATGGTTCTAGAACCCTTTTCTTAATCTCTATCAAGCTTACAAATGTTTTATTTCATCGTAAGATAGTCTGGTTCTTGTATTGACATTTATATTATATATGATTTTAAAATGCTGATTTACTAACAGGTCAGGCTAACAGAAAAAAGACGGATGTCTTATCAATAAAGCACGATCACCATAAACCTGATGAGGCAGAAATTGAACCATTATCAGCAGATCCTATTGGTGGAGACAGAAACGTTGACAATAGCAACTACTCGCTGCAGATGAATGAATCTGAAGCTCCCAGTGATCTGATAGGGAAGCATATTTTCCACGACAGAAGAAAGTCCTTGGAGAAAATTGAGTCAACTTCTGAGAACGATTTACAAAATTTCAAAAGTGAGTATGTTTGCAGTGCTGCGAATGATACTGTAAGGTTGGAATTTTATCCGGAAGTTAAAGGAAGTTCTGAACATGCCGTTGAAGATATACCTCCCAGAAGCAAGACTGTTTCGGCTGAACATTCTCTGACTAGTAGTAGAGTCCGCGTGAAAAGAAAGAAAGGCAAGGAAAAAGCTTTATCTGATGGAATGATGCCAAAAGATGACGATGACAGCCACGAGAGCGTTGAAAGCTGTAATAGTGCTGGACTATTTCCGACGGGCAAGAGGCGGAGAAGCTTTGAAGAAGATTTGGTTGTTGGGACTAAAGGATTCAAGAAACAAATTCACTGTCTAGACGGTTCCACATCCGTCGCTAGACAAAATAGTTCCTTCATGAATTGGATATCAAACATGATGAAGCGCTTCTCACAATCGGTGCAGGATGAGGCACCTTTTCCTCTCAGCATTGTGCGTCCAGATGACAGACATGAAAATATCGACAAAAGACTCACCACTGTCGACAAGAACCAAGATGCGGGGTCCAAAATCATTGGTTTCCAGTCCATCTTTCAGTCCATGTATTGTGGGAAGGCAGAGGTTCAAGAAACCCGAGTGTTGAATGTTGAGTATCAAGTTGGAGAAGGATCCAAGGAACTTGGATCATCCAATAAAATGAGCAACAACAATGCTACTCCTATAGCATGTCAAGGGGAGAACAGTAAGGTCGCGGGAAAACACTTTCTTTTATTGAATGAGAGGTTCAATGAGTCTATGTCTGGAAATGGGGAAGCTTTGGCAATCCAGCCTAAGAATCTGTTGGATAAGTTTGTTGATAGTCAGGAAAATGGCCATACTAACTCTGAAGAGAATAAGAGTAAGTGTCAACTGGCCATCAGTAGTAAAGAAAAAGAGAGAACAAGCTCCAATACCTCTCTCGGTAAACGAAAGACGAGCAGCGCTGAACATGATTCAGACCTGCCATGTGAGGGAAAAACGACGTCCAAGTTTTATCACAGAAATGACTCTCTAGGAAGCACCTGGATAACTCGCTTTGCCGCGAAAATTTCCGGTTCCTCAGAAAACCCTAATCATTTCAACCCTAGTGCTGGTCTGAGTCCTAAGCGCTCTGTGGAATGCCTAAAGCTTATTCCACATGCTCAGAATCACATTGGTTTTCATGTGGATAGTGCAATTTTCGAGAATACGGATCATGCTATGGAAAATCCAATTCCTTTCTATGGTAAAGAATCGGAGGATAGTTCTTCTAGGATCAAAAGTCATGATGATACAAAATCAATGTATAAGTTGACTCCTGTATTACCTTTCCCGCAACTTAACCATTCAGATGCAATGGCGTCTGTCTTTGCAAAGAGATTGGATGCTTTCAAGCACATTACTTCATCAAGAGTAACAAGCGATGCTGCTCATGCGACCATGACCTGTTTCTTCTGTGGTGTAAAGGGTCACAATTTACGAGATTGTTCGGAGATAAAACAAACTGAGCTTGAGGAACTTCTGAGGAATCTAAATACATGTAGTGGGATAGAAGAACTGCCTTGTTTGTGCATTAGATGTTTTCAGCGTAGTCACTGGGCTGTCGCATGCCCCAAAACGTCCCCGAGCAAACGTCTTCAACTGGAATCCAATGCTTCTTTTAGTGAAATGCTGCCAAGTACAGGAAACAGAGACAGTTTAAAGCTCCAAAGCGATGAAGATATGATAACCGAGACAGATTTTAACTCGAAAGTGGATGAAATGATGAACTTCCAGAAAAAGTTGTCTTCTACAAGTCCAGTGAAGAAACACATAGCTTCAGTCCCTGAGGAAAACATGTCGATAGAAAATCGGATAATGCCTTTTCAATACATTGTCAGTGAGCAGAATTCAGATGTACCAAAAGGACTGTTCGATGCTGTAAAAAGGCTTCGTTTGTCTCGTAGCCATATAATAAAGTAAGTATTAGCATTCAGTGGCCTTTCACAATTAAATTTGTTTCTTATTACATCATTGACAAGACGTACTCTCATATAGCTTCATGCTTGGTCAACTGTACTGTATTACAGCAAAAGGTTGAACGATTTCAAAGATAAGACTTTTACAGGGAAATTAAAGAATCTTTTCCCTTTTAGCTAAATGAGCTATTACAATTATTATTTTGCTTATGTTCTTATCTTCTTTGTGACGGCTAGGTGGAAAAGTTCTCGCATGTCACTTTCGCAACTTGACGGCTTTTTCCTGCGCTTGAGGCTTGGCAAGTGGGAAGAAGGACTGGGGGGAACTGGCTACCACGTTGCTTGCATAATTGGTAAAACTAAATATGTATCGTGACAAACATATTTTATTAAGTTGACTTAGTGGTTTATGAATTAGTACGTCATCCAAGCGCGTTTATTTAAATGCCTAAATTCGACAGGGCTGTTTCTCCTTTATCTATTTATTTAGTTTTTATAATTTTGTCTCCCGTGTTTCTCGACATTTGCAGGAGCACAGGGAGACGGCAAAACTCAAGATGCCGAAGGTTCCATACTAGTGAAAGTAGGAGGAATCAAATGTTTGGTTGGGAGTCGTTTCATCTCAAACCACGATTTCCTTGAGGTACCATTTGTCTCTCTAAATTCAAGTTCTAGTTCTAGATTTGTCTTTTTTTGTGATTGGTCAAAGTTTTTTGAAAATCTTGTGAGCTTGAATATTTGTTTGATACGTATGATTGTATGAATTATGTCACATGGAAATTATTATAAAATGTTTTCCCTTTTGGATTTTTTTAGTCTCATGTTGGATGTGGCATGATTAATGGTGTTCCAAATTCTGCTCCCTTTTATCGTGTCCCTAATTACGAGAGTACGTATATTCCGGCTGGTGGGTTGAGGGCCCCATCGATCCTATGTGGCCCATCCTCCGAAGAGCTCAATTGTTTTTTTGGACCTAACAAGTTTGACCATAACATAGTCTATTTCTTCTGTCAAAAAACTCCATTTTAATATGTTACCAGTCTCTCCATAGAGTTTAAGTTATTAGAAAGCTAGCCAACAATAATTATATGTTACAACAATGTTCTCCAATAAGTGAATTATACTTTCATTTACATTAGAGAAAAGGAGACAAATACCTTTAGAATGTATGGGTTTTAAATTTTTACCTCTTACTTTTAATTAACATCCTTTAGTCAAAAAAACTGTACTACTTAAAAGGGTATTAATCAAGAATCAATGGTAAAAATCTTGAACACTACACTTTTGGAGGGTAGAGTCTGTAATTTACTTTTTACTACTTTATCAACACATACACAGACCAAATTATAGCCTACTTAATGGACTTTGGAATAACCCACTTAGAAAGGCCAGAAGATTGTGCTTTTCAAGTCCTCGTACAATTTAGCACAGTCCAAGGACTATCATATATTGACCCTTCTATTGGTAGTGCAAATTTCTGATTATTAGATCTGATCAAAATCAGTCTCTGATATGACAAGTGAAGAAAGAAAAAAAAAATTCTTGCGATAGTTCATTTTTTTTTTCAAAGTCTTACCGTAAATATCTCATGCTTTTTATTGTTATTTTGAGAAGCTAGTATTTTTTTACTTTTGCTACAAGTGAAAGTAGAACCCATTTTCTTTTCAAAAGCAAAGGCTTCCCAATAATTGATTTTTTTTTTTTTTTTTTGAATAACTTGCATATTGATTTTTGTTACAATTATCTTAAGCAGTTTATATATGTTGTCTTCCATGTTTGAACAGGATGAGCTGTTGGCTTGGTGGTCTATTACCTCAAGGAACGGTGACAAAATTCCTTCAGAAGAAGATTTGGGAGTGAAGGTAAAGACAAAAAAAATGTTAGGCTTTTAATTCACAGCAATTATTTATTAATTTCCGGGCTATTGCACCCATGTTAGTTTTGATGACTATAGAGTGGTTAAAAAAACAAAACAAAACAAAACAAAAAAAAAAAAAAAAGACCCTACAATTAGCTGATGGTATACTGTACATAACTTCTGAATATTTTTCTTTTCTTTTCTTTTGTGGGTTCAAAGATTTTTTGTGTAACACGAAGAATCTAATTACACCGTGGCTCGTGCGTGTGAATTTGAGAAAATTCTTTATTCTTGGTCTACAATTTTCTCTATGCTGAAAAGTATGAGGCACTTTTTTCTTTTCCTTTTTCGTTTTTGGCTTAAAAGTACGAGACATCTTCCTAGCATGAGTTTTAGCTTATGAAAAATGTTAGCATCATTATTTTTGTATTCACTTTTTGACACATAAATTTCATTATATCATTTTCTGTTTAAATAATAATATATCATGTTAATAGAGTCTAAGTATCAAACAATATTTTCAAAGAGTGATAGGTTAGCATTTCTCTTTAGCTTATACACTGCTATATACTTTTAAATGTGCAACTAGAGTCAGAAATTTTGACTGTGGGGGCTAATGATTAAAATAATATTAATAAGATTATAGGATTGAATTTGTAATGTTTACTAGGACTGTATATATTGTTATAAGAAATACATATTGTTACAATAATAAGTAGCACACTTATATATATATATATATATATATATGTATGTGATATATGTGCACGCGTGTTTTTTCCTAGGAAAAAAGTAAGTTGAGCGGGGCTTGATCCTACTAAAACTCACTTAGCTCTATCCATACTAAAAGTTGTGTTGAGCTCTTTAGCAAGAAGACCTATAATAATAGTAGTAATAACAAGAAAAGTGTGATAAGCTGATAATAAAAGTTCTCTTAGATAGGGGGGAAAAAAAAAAGAAAATTCTACCAACTTGTATTGTATGACATGGTCCAATTTGTCGAAGTGTTCAAATCTCTTTCAAATGCTTGGTTTTGAGGCATATTTATTTTAAGTTGATCATGGTGGGAGTATATCAATTACTTATCCATAACCTTTTTCTTTCTTTCCAAAAGGAAATGAGGAAAAAGAAAGATTAAATTTAATCTAGGGAGCCTATAATCATTTCTAAAGGAAAGATGTGTGTTGAATGGGGAACAACATGGAAATCACATTACAAGTGATGTTTATGTTTAGTTCTTGCTTAACACCATTTCCTCTTTCTTAAAGGAAGATTAGGGTGTTCTTTCTTTTTTAATTTGCTTTCTTTTCTTCCCTTTTCTTCTCTTTTTTTTTATTTTAATTTAAAAAAATTACTGAATTTATTTTTAAAAGTGCACGAGTCTTAATTTTTTTTCTCATTTATGATTAATATTGATTTTATTAGTATAGTTATTTAATTAAAAATTTTATTCATTAAAACTAAGAGATAAAACTCTTAACCAGCGATATTTGTTGGATTTCTTCTTTAAACATGTCAGTGAGTATCCACCCGTTGGGACCTTGAAAAGACGTCACTTTTGTATACTCAAATGAGTAATTACTCTTAAATATTTATATATATATATGGAAAAAAAAAAAAAAGAGTTTCGGTGCTTTGCTCTAAAGATGGCAATTCGTATTAATGAGTTGTGTTTGTGCTAACTTATTTATTAATAATGTTAGAAAATATTAATTCAAATATGATCTATTTATTAAACGTGTTAAAAATGTCAATTTAAACACGATTTATTTATTAATCGTGTCAATCTGTATAACTCGTTTAAATTAATATATTAAATAGATAATTAATATAATAATAATTTATGTAACACGGTCAAGACATGCTTAATATGTTTATTGGTCAATTTATCTTGTTCTTACCTACAAATATTAAAATTTACATTATTTGTATTTAATGTCATATAAATTTTCATGTTATATCATATATCATTAGATTATAGATAACACATATAATTAATCATGTTAAGGTGAATTCTAACTCAACTCATTTATTAATCGTGTTAATAGTGTCAATCTAATTATGATCTAAATTCATTTATATTAAACTCAAACTCGCTAACGTCGTGCGGGTTTTGAATTGTGTTGTCATGTCATTATCTGGATTGCCAACTTTGCTCTCAAATTAGGACCCCTTTTGGTCTTTCTATAAATCTGATATAATATATACATATATATATATATATATCGAGATTGATATGACACATCATAATAAACAAAAAGAGTTTTTTTCTGGCTGATATGATAATGAATCTATGGTATTGTAACTTTTGTTCGCCTAAAATCTTCAAAGCTTTTTTTTCTCCTTTTTGGAATCTACAAATTTAATACAAAACCATATAAATGCACACAACAATGATAAATAAAATATGAAATCACAGATAAAAATCAATATTCTTGAGGAAAAAATTTATCACCAGGTCTAAGAGGACACATACCTTTTTTTTTTTTTTTGAAATATAAACATGAAAACTACGAATATATAAATGAAATGAGCAGAGAAGAAAAAATCTAACACTGAGGGAAAGTTTGAGATAAAGAGAAGAAAGAGAGGGGAAAAAAGAAGGAAAGATAACCTCAATTGGTAATTTGCTGTTTGAATTTTTAATTTTGATAAATTACTCTTTGTATCTAATAAAGTGCTGCAACTTGCATAATGGTTGGATCCAAAAGTGTTTCGGTCTAAATTTTTAGAATTGGTATTGATAATTGATTCTGAAATGTTTTATTAAATCTATGGCATAATTTTCTAAAATAAAAAAGGTAACTCTTCCCAATTCAAGCAAAGTTCAGGGGAAATGTATTGGTTTCTGAAACGATTTTAAATGCGGAAGCGTATATTTAGAAGATTATGTATAATAAAAATTTTTATAAAATTTTGAGATATTCTATGAATTACATTAATTTATGTACAAATAAATTAATCAAATTAATATATTTACTTAGCGAACGATGAAGACGATAACTTAATTTCTTTGAATCAAATTAATTTATTTCTTTGATTTCTTTAATTTTGACCTCGAACATTCCTTGCTCTAAGCTAGTATAGAACACCCGAATCTCCCTCGTCCATTCCTTGAATAAATGAAGACGTGTGCGTGGGCACACCTGAAACAAAACGGGATTAACGAATAAAAACTCAAGGTTTCCACGAACACTAACACATGCACGACGTAGAATTTTTAAAGAAAAATTTTCTTTTCCTCACACTCTATAATTTGGCCACTATAGCTAGGAGAGAGCAAAAAATTGTGTTCTCCAATTTTCTGCGATCTCCTATTTATAGAGTAGTAGTCAGACTCTCAGAAGAAATCTAATCTTTATCTCTAAGATAAAGCTTAATAATTATCTCCCACTTCTAATTGAATTTGAAAACAAAATCTCTCTCCCTTGTCCACATATTGGCCGGCCACCTCAAGGGAATTCTTACATGTATAAGGCGCATATAGTCTGAACAGGGCAGAGTAAATTTCTACATTTACTATGCCGTCTAATTTTGACTCAAATTCAAATTCCAATTCAAGTCAAACTTAAATTAATTTAAATTTTAAATTGGACAACTTATCAAATAAGTCAAATGGATAACTTAGAGAGCAAGCAATTGAATTCCAAAGGGATTCACACTGTGATGGGCGTTCACACCATGTGAACACCTTCACATGTATGTCCCAAAATTCAAATTTAAACTAAAATAATCACATTATTTAATTAATAATTAATTCTCAATTAATTATCCTTGAGCGTATCATTTTAGAGTTTCATAATTTTTAAAATGGAAACCCTTAGTGTCTTGTAGGATTACAAGGACAACGCAGTAACTCATAAACCTATAATTTTGTGGTCCAATAAAATTAATAATTAATTAATTGTATTAATTCCAACAGTTAATCCACTATAAACTTAGAATTGCACTCTCGCAATTATAGAAATAAATTACTTATAAACTGTGAAGTGTGCATTTGGCATAGTCATTACATATAGATTAATCCTCCATAAATAATTCATAATTAGAGTTAGGTGAAATCCATTAGCCTCTCTAATTACATTTTTATCCTTGAGTACCATTGATTCTCTAATAAACAATGATTCATAAAACAAATTTATGAATCGGAGCTTCTACTGGTCTAAGTACCGAATCAACCCTCAAGAGAATTATTTATCTATCAACCCTCAAGAGAATTATTTATCTACTTCTTTCTCAATAAGGAATGAATTCCATCTCGTATAATAATATTGCAGCTATTCACTTCATCATGTCTCCAAAATGTAAGGAATAGGTTTCAAGATCTCAGAATCTGTACTAAGTAAATCAAAAGACTCAAATTCATAAATAGGAGTCTGCTAATAACTCAAGATTATGATCATTTTATATATGACCATTGGTAGTTTCAATTAGAATTTCTATACTTAACAGAAATTATCAGAAATTCATATTGTGTCTTTGTCGCTGTTCCAAATAATCTTATTATGCGCAATACACTCATTCAATATCTCGTTATATTAACAGTGCGAATAATACTGTTCCATTCTGCATGGGAATGACATGTATTCGTAATGTTTTAATTAAATATTCTAAACTTTAATTAAATTCATTACGAACATCATTTTAATTACTATCCTTAAATATTATCATCTTGCATATAATACTTATATATAATATATAAGGTCACGTAAATAATTATGAAATTTTCAGTAATAATTAATAATATATGCACATATAATAATGAATAAACTCACTATTCCCAACAAAATGATCCCAAAAAACTTAAAAATAAAAAAAAATAAACTCCCTTTTCTTAATTTAGCACAAGTCAATTCGCTCCTAATTGCATCCAAATCCCTCGAAGGATAATTTTCGTATACAGGTGCTGCTAAAAAAGAAAAAGAAAATCACATAAACTGAATAAAATATTGTTATACATGTCACCTTAGTCTTCTCCTATTATTCACCTATTTATTTATTTATTAGTATTATACCTATTATATATTATTGTGGTTGCCGCCACCACTATTATCATCATCATCATCATCATAATTTTCGTATACGGGTGCTGCTAAAAAAGAAAAAGAAAATCACATAAACTGAATAAAATATTGTTATACATGTCACCTTAGTCTTCTCCTATTATTCACCTATTTATTTATTTATTTATTAGTATTATACCTATTATATATTATTGTGGTTGTCATTATCGTCGCCGTCGTCGTCGTCATCATCATCATAATCTATTTAGAAGAATAAATCGGTGTTGTATATTAATATTTAGTAATAATCATAAATAAAAATGTAATTATTGAAAACTCGTATATATATAAATATGGTGAAGATAATGTAGAAACGCATACGATTTTTGTGGCAAAATCATGGATATTCTTTATTTTTTCAAAGGGATTATGTGTGTTCATTAGGTGTGTAATTATGTGTGTTAATTTTTAATAAGCTATTCATTTGTGTAGCGAGGGATGGGGGGTTGTTGATGATTTAATCAACTACTATATACATGGTATTTATGTCAAGAACATGCAAGTCATTCTTCTGAATTTTTTGCAAATATCAAAAGTAGGATTTCAAGAAAACGTGATTCCCGACCATCTCCAATAGTTTTATACCATTTTTCCCTGAATAATTGTATGTATATGATTACGTGCATCAACAAGTGGATCCAATTTTCAATTATATTTACATACTTGAAAATAAAAGGACTATATTATATGATTTATACACAATAATTATATAATATATGCAAGTGGATCAAAAGAAACCAATGAAAATCGTGCCCGGATTGATAGCTGAGTCAGCCTAATTTATGTTTTTCTTTCTTTAATAGCTAGACTTCAATGTCAATGATAACAAAAAAATGTTTACAATAATAATAACTGTCACCTTTTTAAATTTGGATAATTGGGATATCAGACCAATCAAGTTAAACAAATTTAAAACTGTCACCTTTTTAAATTTGGATAATTGGGATATCAGGCCACCAACTATTAGTTTTATTTTTGATTTGGTTGTTCCTTTTAAAAAAAAGTTTACTACCTTTTTTTATATTCCCTTTTCTTTTTTATTCTTTATTCTTTTCTCTTTTTTATTTTGTTTTGTAGTGGAGAAAGACGTGAAGAAATCAGCCTTCGAGTTTTCTTTTTTGGAATAAAAATGCCGTCATTTTTAGGCATATTTTATTAAAAAAGTATAAGACGGTTCTTTATTTTAATTTACATATTAACAACTTTTGAAAATTTATGAACAGTTATTGGTCCGTTTAGTTTTAAACAAAAATTTATATCTTATTCTTTTTACAATTAAAATTTTTTTGTTGCAATATTTTGTTTACAAAAATTTAAATTCTATTTTTTTATTATAATATTTTTTCTCACACGAAAAAATTTTAATTGTGGCTTAAGTTGTAAAATAAACACATTTAAACTTTTTATGAGAAAAAGTAATACAACACCAAAGTTTGAGTTTGTGTTTTGAACCTATAAAACAATGTACACGTGTTTTGTGTGTTTTTAATAAAGATATTAAAAAAAAAAGAAGTGATAACTACGCACAAACTGACGTACATAAATAATTTACTTTTTTGGTGAAGAGTACATCATAATTTATTTAGAGCTCATTTAATTTGTTAATTCGAGTTTTTAATTTAAATTGAGATGTGATTTTATGTGAAAGTTTTTTATTATAGTAAAAAAGTTATATGTGATTATTTTTGAGAACTTTTTACAGCAGTAAAACTCAAATTCTAAATTCGAATCGGTGAAATGAATGAGATTTAAGTTATTAGGCAGTAGTTCAATTATTGCATTCCAACAAATTCCTGAGAAGTAATGGTTTTAAGATGCCTAAGCACTAAATTTAAAACTTAAAAATATATATTTGATTAAATTACAAATATTATATAATTGAAGCAATCTAAATGCATATAATATAATCGCTTAAGTATGTTACTGGAGAGGCTCTGGCAACTCTTGTTGTGAACAAGTTGCGTGGCATACTTAATATTGCTGCCATTAAGGCGCCTGGTTTTGGTGAGCGGAGAAAAGCTCTCCTCCAAGATGTCGCCATTTTGACAGGTAAGCAGACCTTGGACTGATCATGTTTGGCTGTGGTTTATTCTCTCTGTCCGACCATTTTGTGTTAGGTTATATCTTTTGTGGAGAAGTCATTCATTGGTAGTTTTATAGTGTTAGCCGAAATAGTGGATAATACAAAAAGAGGAACAAGGTAAGGAAGAACAAAACCGAAATTCATACAATTGTAATTCAACCTTTTTACCAAAACTCAGAAATGAAAGTGGCAAGGATGTCGAGGCACGTGAATCACATTTTCCTTAAAACAGATTCGTCCCCTCTGGTGAGTGCTTGAGGCAACGTAGGACGTCCGTCTCCTAAGATACAACGACAACGACGGTAGGTCGATGCACTATCGGAACCGTCCGGCGAACTAGAACTCGGACCTTCCCTCTATCACTAAACCGAACTACAAGAACACAAAGAAACTAGAAAAAGAAGAAGAAGTCGTGGGAGAAGAGCAGAATATGCTTCTGTGTAAGTGTCCCTCTCCTTCATGTAAAGTCGCCTTATATAGGCTCTGGAAAATAGGTTATGAAACCAGGAATTAAAGGCCTTAATCTCCATTTTAATTGTGCATAAAATATTTCCTAAACCCGGCCACAATACACATCCAGATTCATGAAAAAACTGATTCAATAACCAGGCTTTAACATCACAATTAATCTCGGTATTAAGCATTCTTTAATCTCATTTACCAGCCATTAAGCACAGCTTTATGCTAAGGGCAAACGGCTGGAAGCTAGAAGGTCTTGGCTGAAGCAAAAATAAGCTCACACGGAGTGAGTTTTTCAGTCCAACATTCGTGTCCGCAAGCACACACATTAGGCCCCAACCCGCCAAGATCATGATTTGCACCTGCCTTGCGCATGAGAAAGCCTCTCTAGTATACATGCTTACCTAGGTATCAAAGTGCAATCACTTATAAACACCACATTGGCTTCACTCCTAGTCAATGTGGGATTTTTACAATTTTCTTCTACATTTACCATTCCAAGTAACATATTTAGACCATCAATTTCTCATTCACCCAAAAACCATTTTGAGTGTATGAATACTCGATTTCGATCTCCTCACAATGGAGAATACAAATCCATCGAGATCCGTCCTAAAAACCTATTAGACTACATTCGAATATGGGCCTCAAAATGGGCCTTTAAAATAGCTTAACAAGCCATTTTTCCAACATATAGAGATAGATATGGATGGTGCTCGGTGGGGAGGTGGGTACAGTGTTTTTTTTTTGTTTTTTGTTTTTGTTTTTTTTTTTTTTGTTGAGAGAAAACATTGTTATTAGTAACCATGCTAAATTAGTGAATTGTATCTGATGTCATTATTAATGGGGTTGACATATCTTGTATTCTAAGTCATTTACACCAGTTGGATTGTTTCTATCACTTTCTTATTGAATGAAAATCCTTCCCTTAAAAAAAGGTCTTTCATACTAAATTGCCCCTGAAAAAACCAACATGAACGTTTTTCTAATGAGTAAATTAAACAATTAGGGTTTATTGAAAAAAAAATTCTGATTGCTGTTAATATTTTGGTCTAAATTAGAAGAACATATAAATTAACAATAATCGTCAGCTATAAAATAGGATAATTTCATAAATACTACGAATAATATAATGTATTATAGTTTAAAATGCCCTCCCAAATTATGGAAAGGGTTCATTTTATCCGCATGTAGTCTCTAAAATCTTTTAAAATCCCTCTTCTATTTATATTTGTCTATAATACTTAAAAAATGATTATATGGTACTAATTGTAAATTTATTAACGACTACTAAACTATTAATTTTAAGTTAACTTGTTCCTCCTACTATTAATGTTCTCTGATTTAAAAGAAAATGAGAAGGAAATTGATATAAAATTAATAATTTAGAGGGCATCTATAATATTACATAGTTCAAGGGGCCATTTTGAAGAATTTATACATATAATTTAGGGATAAAATTTAGAGGCATGTTGAATTAAAGTACATAATTCAGGGGTATATTTAAGAAATTTTGTCCAAAGAAATTGAAAAGGGGTGGTGAGTGATGACTCTCAGAAATTATAAAAATTAAAGTTGACAACGGGCAAACGTCAATATCCTACAAATAACAACATCTTATTTATAAGCTGATTTCGTCAAATTAAAGAAAGCATATATAACTAAACTCTCAGTAATAATATAAAAAACGAGATAATTAGAAGAGATATAAGAAAAATATAATTTAAGGAAAATGAGACAAATAGTTTTAGAGTCCATAGGTTTAGATTTTTAACCCCTATTCTTGATTAATATATTTTTTAATCAAATAATTATATTAATAAAAAAAATATTAATTAAAAATGAGGGGTACAAATTCATATCTATACTTTAAGAGTAAGTTGAACAATTTTCTTTATAAATTAATTTATTAGCCAACTTATTTGTTGACCCATCAACTCCGTTAATTTCCTCGCAGTTAGGCATGTAAAGATGAATCCCAAATGCGTACATATATATAGAAGACACTAAAGTTTCCTTTCCATATAGACATTGACCCATTAACTCCGTTAATTTCCTCGCATTTCTCGGACCAACCTCAGTTAACACATGATTATATTCCACTGCCAGTAAGATAAGCCCAAAAGGGCTTCAGGTTTCTCTTTTTCTGCAGTATCGTCCTTGCCCGGTTCTTACTTATTATCAAAAAAAATAAAAATAAAAAATAAAAAATAAAAAAATACAGCGAGCTATAATATTGTCTCCTCTCTCTTGGTTTGTTGATGAACAAAAAGATGCATAATGGTAAGTCAACTACTCGTCAACTACTCTCTCTCTCGATCTCTCTCTCTCGATCTCCCTATGTGTGTAGTGAATATCAGGTTAAACTAATTTATTCCCGTTAAACATTTTCTTTTAGATGGGAAAGTCAGGACGGCGCAAATCCTTGCCGCCTCCTCGTTTGGTTTTGCCGCCGCCACTGCCGCCGCCGTAGCATGTTATCGCCGCCTAAAATTCTCCAAGCAGCTGCTGACGAGTGATGTTAGGGACCATCATATCATTCCACGCCTTAACAGGACGGAATCCGGCCGTGGCCAACTTGAAAGTTTCTCCCATTTTGTTGGTAATTATTTTATTTTCCAAAATTCACATGTTAAAACAATAAATATTTATGCATTATTTTTCAAATAAGTGATATATATATATATATATATATAGAGTTTTAAATTAGTATTTGGTGGGATGTGTGCAGCTAGGCAGGTAGGATTTTCAGATGCAAATGAGTGTCCACAATTATGCAAGTTAGCGAATGAGTACTTGAGGAAATCCAAAGGATGTGAAGAAATTATTTATGATTTTTTGGCAAATGAAGAAGATGCGGATTCTATTTATGTGGTGTTGGTGGAAGAGTTTGATAGATGCATTCTGGGCTATTTTGCCTTTCATTGGAGCCAAGCTTCTCTTATGATTACTCAGGTATATTATTATTAATTAAGTACCGTATTAATGAATTCTATGTTCTTAGCTAGCTTTGGATCCGTTGGTCAATGTTAAAAGAAAAGGCCTTTGAAGTCAAGAGGAAATAATAGTGAAAGACTATTAAAGAGCTTTGGAAAAATGGAGTTTCTCTTAGAAAAAATGAATTATTGATAATTTTTTATTTTTAGTTATGTTAAATATTTTTTTAATCTGATGTGATTTTGATCAGATTTAACAGTCTGAAACTGATCTTATAAATAAAGAGACTCTATAAGAGAAAGTCCTTAGAAAAAAAAAAGGGAAAATCACATCTTTTATTGACCTCTAGAATACTATGTTGGTAAAGTGGAAAAATGTGAGTAAATACAATGGAGTAATTTTAGAATGGAAAAGGAATATTGTTTTTTTTTTCTTTTTTTACTAAACAGTTACTTTTCCCTCAATCACAAGTCATTTTCTGATTTTATACAAGAGCATAATAGTCAAATGAGTTTTATAGGCATTCTTTTTTCCCCTTTTTTTTCTCTTCTCCCATACAATTAAAAAGAATGCTCCTTCCTTTTTTTCTCTTTTTTTTTTTTTTTTGCTTCTCCTTCCTTTTTATTTTTCATCCCTCTTCCTCAAGAGAATCTGTATATTGAGTTCTCCATCTGACTATTCTCTTAATTCCACTGAATCCACTCTACAAAACTCAATTTTTAGCCTTTTATATACTTAAGATATATAGTAACCGAGCTTGTCATTCATATATGTTTATAATAGCATCAAATATATGAATAATACGAGTATGCATATATAAAAATATTTACGCGAATATATATATATATATATATATATATAATTGTTAACCAAGTTACCTTACTATGGCCGTGTACGTGTAGGTTTTCAATGCGGAGTCTGAACCGAAAACAAAACTCAAGGACTTTGTATTGGCAGCTACAAGGTGAATTTACTTTCATTTTATTTTCTTAGTTAAGCTTTATTCAGAAATGCAAGCATATCTACGACTGTGTACGGTAAAACTGAAAATAAATGTGAAAACATCTAATCAAAACTAAACAAAAATAATAATAATAAATGAGCATTCTTTAAGAAAAGATAATTATATTTCCTCAATTTAAATTCCTTTCCACTCTAAACTTCAAGTTTATAAAGTTGTTTTCTTCACATATTAGTTGACAAGTTGTCCAATTTTTTTTTTTCCATTAGTCTAGTTCCGTCAATTACTTCTTTTCTGTGAGTTTTACTTAGGTCCGTTAAGTAGTTTCCAGCTTGCTTTTTTTTTTTTTTTTTTTTTTTTTTTATCGAAAAGCTATTTTGGATGTGTTTGGATAGACACATTGATTGGCTTTTGTTTTGACTTTTGTAGTGCTTATAAGAAAAAGAGCTTACCAAAATTCTTTTTAGTTGCAATTTTAATATGTGAATAACGACATAATTATTTAAAAGAGAAGACATTAGACATAATCCCAGTATAAGACGTAATTATTTAAAGTATCATATTACTTTTAATAACAACATATATAATCGTTCAGAACTTGATTATAAGGAAAGAAAAGACATAAGACAATCGCGTCATAAATTATTTAAAAGCACTGGATGAGCCTTAAGAGATAAGAGCTAAAGGAAATCACCATCAGAAAGCATAAACTTTATTTAAAATGTTCTTGCATATTATCTAGTTCTAGTTTGAGTGATACTCATTGATTAATGTAGGCCCCACAAGCATCAATACTCTCAGTATTGTGGTACCGACTTTGCTGAAAAAAGGGTTATGGGGACAAGAATTTAATGGAATTTATTCTATTGTTTAGTCACTAACTAAAAAAGGTCCAACAACTTTTTTTTAAGGATAATACTAGCTAAAAGCTGGCCCATGGGTAATACCGTTATATTTAGAGGTGTATGTTTGGACTGTCCAGTCCAATCTGACCCGAGCCTGATGGTTCAAAGGGAAATTTTGGGTTGGGCTGAGAGAGAGGGTTGGCCCAGCCAAGCCCTAAGTCCAAAAAGTAGCCCGACCCAAAATTTTGTAAGATATTTAAAAAAAGACTTTTAAAAATATGATGTTTGGGCCGGCCCGGGCCAATAGTAGCAGGCATGGACCAACAGTAGCCGGCCCCAGGCTGATCTGTTTACTCTGGCCCAAACTTGCAGCTCTAGTTGTAATATACAAAAAGTTAGGAGTTTTTATAGTATAGGATTAGTTTATATATACATATATACATATAGATATATCTATATAATATTCTAGTTAAAAGTTTCTTACAATGTATTATAGCTTTTGTTTTCCTTTTTTCTTTTGTTCTTCTTAACTACAAATACAAATTAAAAAAAAATTAATAATAATAATTAAGAAAGTTGAAAACTTTTAATTATATGTAGTGTAAATCAAAGGATTTAGAAGTAGTTGTATTAGTTGGTCCTTAGGGCATTTTCTAGTGAGTATGTTGTCTTTAGTCCATGGCTGAAATGATAAAGATTGTTAAGATATGTATTCAAAATAATAAGTGTTGATTTTTATTGATAATTGATATAAATTAGGAAATACAAAAATACATAAGGAAATAAAAAGCTGAGGACAAAAGTGTACAATCAAACTATAGGGCAGAAAAAGACCCAAAAGTTCTTGTGCAGGAATGGGAGAAGAAAGGAAAAAAAAAGGGCAAACTTGATCATTTAAATTCAAAGGACAAAACCGGTATTCCACTATACTAGGCACAGTAAACCATGCCTCTTCTTTAGTATATATAATAACTAGCTAAAAGTTCACGCGTTGCTACAGAAAATATTGTTACATTATACAAAATGTTGGGAATTTTTATAACATAGGATTAGTTTATAATACATATACATATAGATATATCTATATAATATTTTAGTTAAAAGTTTCTTACAAATTATTATAGCTTTTCCTTTTTTCTCTTGTTCTTCTTAATTGCAAAATATAAATTAAAAAAATTAATAATAATAATTAAGAAAGTGAAAAATCTTTAATTATATGTAGTGTAAATCAAAGAATTTAGAAGTAGTTATATTACCTGGACATTGGGCATTTTCTGAGTGGGTCTTTTGTCTTTGATTCAGAACTGAAATGATAAAAGATTGTTAAAATATGTATTCAAAATAATAAATGTTGATTTTTATTGATAATTGATTTAAATTAGTAAATACAAGAACAAATAAAAAAATAAAAAAACTGAGGACAAAAGTGTACAATCAGACCATAGGGCAAGAAAAGACCCAAAAGCCCCTGCACAGGAAAGGGAGAAAAACTCGACAATTCAAATTCAAGGGGCGAAACCACTATTTCACTGTACTATGCATAGTAAACCATGCCTATTCTTTAGTATATATAATAAAGTGTCCAATTTAAAAATTGTCGGCGCATTTATAACTCGTTTCAAAATGATTTTATTTTTTGTATGAAAATGAAAATGAAAACGTTTTCAATCTCGGACAAAAATCATTTTTGAAAATGCATTTGGTAGTTTTATAAAGAGATTATTTTCAGTATAAAAAAACGTATTAATGTCTCTCTCTCTCTCTCTAATCTCGAGAAGAGAAAACAAAAATAAAAAATAAAAAATGACTAAAAGTCATTTTTCATTTCTCTCTCATTTGACACTAAACCAAAAAATCGTTTTCATTTCCGTTTTTTGTCTTTATTGCGCTAAACGCCATTTTGAAAACGTTTTTATTTTTTTCTCAAAAAACGTGAAAAATAAAAACGTGATCAATTCTAAACACGGCCCGCGTGTTCTTCCATTGATAGTACGCACCAAAATATCATCTGGTCTACTTAGTATCAAATAGCATAGGCTACAAGAAACTTATCCAAATAGGGGCAAAATAAGTCATCAAGAAATTATCGTGCTTTAATTTTTACAATTTTTCATGGATAGATTGAATCTATAAAAGACAACTTTTAAAAAAGCACGACAGGTGTTGTTTCGAATGAAAAATAAAGTTGTAATATAATAAAAAAAAAGGGACGTATATATAGATATATACCTTCCTGACTCGTTTCGCAACGACGAAGTAAATTCTATTGATTCTTTGGCCTCAGGCCTTACTGGTGAACTCGGGGGAGTTGCTAGTTTCAGTTTTTTTACTCCGCCTCATGGGAGTGGTTCAAGCCAAACCCCACCCCGAAATATAAAGAAGCTACGGCGGGCGGCCCTAGGTTTTGGCTCTCTTGATCAAGTCGGCGTATTTTAGGGAGGCGACTCCCGAAGCAGAGAGCCACTCCTAGACTAGCAGAATTAGATGAACGAGCTAAAAGTACTATTCCCTTTATGACCTAAAACAAGCCCTACCATTATACTTAATAAACTGAAAGCTGCTTGCCCGGATGATCACCTCTCCACTACTACTTATTTTGTTTTCCTTAGCACCAATCTTCTCTTGGAGCAAAAAAAAAAAAAAAAAAAAAAAAAAGTGGAGATTTGAATTCTACATATTATGTATAATCAAGTGTATGGATCTCTATTAGATTATTACCTGCAACCACATAGTGTCCCACTAGTGATGTAGAAAAGTTGATGGAAGACTTATAGCATGGTATTCAACCACCATTAAAAAAAAAAGTAATAATAATTATCATTCAATCAACATACGTATCAAGTCTACTACACTCATTTATTACCATTCTACCGTGTTGATTGTTTTTCAGTTTTTGTTTAAATGTAATTTCCCTTTCCAACAAAATGAGGAAAAAAAATAAATATATGCACGAGATAAAGATGGTTCTTCACATGGCTCCTTCAGAAGAGATACAAATAGAGCTCCCCTAGATATAGCTATCGATCAGCTCTTTCAAATGACTGATGTATGGACGGATTTGCCAATAAAATCAGTTTTTGATCGTAATAAATATTTCAAATCTGAGTGTGCTCATATTTAAAAAGAAACCAGAACATGGCACAAAATAACCCAAACCAAAAGAATTTCCTAAAGCCTCAGTTATATTGTTTTGTAATGAAAAAGATCATCCACTCTCTTTCTTTAATTTTTTTTAAATTAAATTACAGTGTCATATAGAAGCATAGAAAACAAATCTTAAGACATTCAACACCATGTTACATGATAATAAAAATTGAATAAAGTGGGCTACTTCTGTAATATTTTTATTAAAATCAAAATAAAATCTTGGGGTCTTATTAATGGTTGGCAGGAAACAGAGATTTGAGAAGGTCACCAAAGACCTAAAGGTGACAAGAATGATCTCTACGTTGGTGGAGGAAATGAAATTGATCCGTACTCCTAGCAGCGGAGAATCCGAAAGCAACGACGTGATGGTGCCCGCGGCGCACAGCCAGAGGAGTCCAGTGCTGCTTCTTATGGGTGGTGGTATGGGGGCTGGCAAGAGCACTGTCCTCAAAGACATTCTCAAAGAGTTAGTACAAAATTAATTTTCTTCTCCTTCAATTCCTATAGATTTTTGCTTCAACATTATTTACTATACATGTTTGTATTATTGTTGTGACAACTCAACAAAATTTAGTCACTATGTAGTGATTGTACATTTCCACTAGAGAGATCATAAATAACTTTTTTTTTTTTTTGTGTGGCAATAATGGGTCAATTTTGTAGGAAAAAAAACTAATGAATTTGAAGTTAATCTTCTTGACAGAGCATTTTGGTCAGGAGCTGCAGCAAATGCAGTGGTAGTAGAGGCAGATGCTTTCAAAGAGTCCGATGTTATCTACAGGGCCCTTAGCTCTCATCATCATGACATGCTTCAAACTGCTGAATTGGTAAAAACATAAATCCTCTCATTTTTTTTTTAAATTTTTTTTTATTTTATTTACGTTTTCAACAAGTCAGAAAGTTGAAATGTAAATTAGTGATTGCGCACTTGACATTCAGGTACACCAATCATCTACCGATGCCGCCTCATCATTACTAGTGACGGCGCTGAATGAAGGGCGCGATGTTATAATGGACGGCACACTTTCATGGGCGCCCTTTGTGGAGCAGACGATCGCCATGGCAAGAAATGTTCACAAATTCCGGTACCGCATGGGGGTCGGATATGAGAAGGCCGAGGATGGTACAGTTATTGAAAATTACTGGGAACAAATAAATGAAGAAGAAGAAGAAGAAGAAGAAGGAGAAGAAGTGTCAAGGGAAAATGGAACATTAGAGGCACACGGGAGAAAGCCCTACAGAATCGAGTTGGTTGGAGTGGTTTGTGATGCTTATCTAGCAGTTGTTAGAGGAATAAGGTATAGAGAAAAAAAAATGCAAAACTATCCTTTTATAATAGTCATCTTTTTATTATTATTGACCTCATAATCATAACTGTCCATTTATTAGAATAGATCAACTTAAACAAAGAAATTTTAATTTCATATCAATTTTTAAGGGTTAATTCTGAAAATAACCTCTTTATTATATATATATATATATATTTGTTGTGGGCTTTTTAAGAAAATGTTGACAAAATTTTTGTTTGGTGTACTTAAACAGGAGAGCTATAATGGTGGGTAGGGCAGTGAGGGTGAATTCTCAGTTGAAATCCCACAAGAGATTTGCAAGCGCATTTGAAAAATACTGCCAGCTTGTGGATAACGCAAGGCTTTATAGCACCAATGCCATTGGAGGTCCACCAAAGGTAATGCAAATCTTTCCTACCCCACAATATCTATTTAGATGTCACAACATAAAGTAGTGGCAAATAAATAAAATCTTAAATGCTAACATTTGGCTACCCACTATGTTGTGCGGAGCCAAATGGGAAATCTTAAAGATTCTGCAATTTATGCACCATGTGCAGTGAAGAGATAAACGTAGGGCTTGGGCATTTCGATGAGGGTTCCGGGTCAACCCAACTTAATCCGAACCCAACCTAGTCCGTATCCAACCTAATCCGTACAAACAGTGACCGGCGTCTCATTGTATTGAGTGGGGGGCAAGTCCCCCATTTAACTTCTAAAATTTAAAGTGTGTTTCATTTATAGATTCAAATTGTATGAACTCATGAGCCCAATCCGAATTGTTGTTTGGTAAGTTATTTTGGGTTACTTTATTGGAATTATACATCATGTTTAAACTAACTAACACTGCCAGAGTTTACCTCTCTTCTAAATTCACCCAATTCTGACCTATTTGCTATTGTGCACAATTTTTTCCCCTAAATTCATGTTTTCAACATGTATTCAAACATAAATTCAGATTTTATTGTCTATTAGGTTTGACACTTTAACTTCATATTCAAATACTCATTTGAATTGCAGTTTAAACCACACTTTTCAGGCCTTACAGTTAAAATAAAAAAGATTTAAATTGCCACAATTCCCCGCAAACCATTAAATATTCAGGAAAAGTAATCTGTTGTTGTTTGCTTATTGAACATATATGAGAGCAACGACTCAAATTTAAGACCTTAATATTTATGCTTGATATGAGTATTAACCAAACTAGTCCTTTGACTATGGTGGTCTTCTTTAATTACACTGCTATTATATTTACATATTTTCCAATTACTGACTCCATTATGCCTTATAATTAACCTAGTTTCTTGTATTATTTACTGCCGAATTGTATGTGATTTTACTGACCAAATTAAGGTTAAAAAAATGCAGCTAATAGGATGGAAAGATGGAGCCAACAAGCTGCTAGTTGATAGTGAAGAAATAGAGTGTTTGAAAGTGGTAAGCAGTTTGAACTCCGATGCAGAATCCATTTATGAGCTTTATGAGGACCCAAGTTTTATATTCCAGCCTCGTTCTATTTGGAACGACATCGTTTTGTCCCCTTCAAGGCCTAAACTTCAGCAACAACTGAAGAATTCTATTCAAAAAATTGAACTGAGAGCCTCTTGAGATTTTAAGATCAAAGCTTCATCAGTTATATAACTATTTAACTTTTCCTGTTTTTTGTTTTTGTTACAAAGAAATTTCCTGTTTGTTTTCTTTTTTTCTTTGGTCGATCCCAAAGAAATTTCCTTTTTGTGTGATCTCGTTCTTCGTTTGTTTTTGTATTTATTGATAAGATGAAAAAACTTTAACCACGTAATACATGGCGACGAAGGCATAAGATCATTAATTGATACTAATGCTATTTATTTTTAGTTCATTTTTCAAAAAATAAAAATAAAAATAAAAACAACTAAAAAATTTTAGTTTTTTTAAGAGGAAAATTTCATTTGATGAAAATAAATTACATACTCAAACTATCTGCAAATAAGCATCACTAATAAGAGAATTTGACTCAGAAAATTAATTAGATCCACCAATAATGACGGATAAAGCACGTGAGTGAAACACAAATGCCAGGGAAAGACCCGCTTAGCACATAAAGATTGAGCACGATTAAGGTTCGTTAGAGCATCTCCAATGCAGTGCTATAATTAATGTGTCAATTGCAAATTTAACATTTGGGTGCAAAAAACACTCTCTAATGCAATGCTATTTGTTGTCCAAAATTTCTCATATGCTATATATTGTGTCAAATTTCCCACAAAATATAACATATGAGAAATTTGACATTTGATTACTATTGGTTAAAATGTTTATTTTTTCCATATAAAGTATATAATCAATGCAACTTTTACATTTTCTAATCATTTTAAAAATAAAAATTTACTTTTACAACTTTCAAAGCTTAATAATTATAAGAAAAAATATATTTAGCATTTCAAATAACATTATGCATTGGAGTAAAAATAAAAATAACACACCATATCATACATTTTGACGTTAAATATATAATTGGACAAAACCACTACAATTGATAAATTAGACCAGTCGACTGAGACTAGATGCCAAATAATGGGATACGAGCGACACGACATAAAATCAAATTTAGTTGGATAACATCACCTATGCTATCGATAAATGGGTGGGAGACACTGACAAGGTCGAAAGGCCGGGAAACAACCTCCGTTTTTAGAGAACTAACATAATAACAAAACAACATAAACTAACACCAACAAGGCACAAGTATCAACTTCTTTACTACAAAATAATAAACACAACAAAGTAAAACAAATAGCCACAGCCAATAGGGAGGACTCGCGCCACATAATAGGTAATCAAATATGAGAAAAGCCACCATGAAAGGAGCATAATTGCCCACCAAAAAACTAAATACGGAGATCCCCAAAAAAGCGATGCACCATCGCGATCGAGACCCCTATGCTATAAGTCCACCATAAACATCTTGTATCTCGCATCATCAGAAACCCCAAAGCTTCCATATTGGCAACGAGCGCCCCACACATCATGCCTCCACATTTGCACTGGTGAGGATGATGAGACCCCAAAGCAACAACATCAGATCGCTCCCAGTGGATCGAAAATGCCACTCCAATAACTTATTGGATCTCTACAAGATCGCCATCATACCGCACTCATCAGTCACAAAAACCACCCACAAGACTCAAGCTACCATCGCGAGGGCCGAGAGTCCGACGACCAGTTACAGGTGGTGTTAAGACGCCTGCCTCAAGAAAAAATCAAAGAGCGAGATCCTAGCTGCGTCTATAAACGAAAGAGAGAAAAAGAGAGAGTAAATTTTAAGTTTTTATGTGATAAGAAGAATGAGAGAGAGATGAAGAGCGAGAAGTGAAGAAAAATAACATAAAAAGAGCGAGAGTGAAAAGTAAAGAGAGAAAGCTAGTTTACTAATTTCAACTCTCTCACCTTTTGCTTTTGCTCTGCTATGAAACGATTTTCTCTTTTCTTGCTTGCATCTGTTCTTGTGTATTTTTTCTATGTTCTCGTTGTTAAATAATATTAGTTATTATCATTATATTAGTCTTTGTCTATAATAAGAATAGAATAGTCTTTTCATTAATTTGTAAGTCTATATAAACCTTATGTTCTGATATATATGATTTTTTTAAGCAATTCAATAAGAAACTCTTGCCCACATTTTCTCTTAATTTTGTTCTTAGATTTTACACTTGTGTCGCGATTTTTGCTGGTTTTGTGATCAGTTGAGCTTCATAAATCATTCTTTCTTTCTATCTGTAAGAAGGGACTAGCGTACGTGTGTGTAAATATGTTTTAAGTTTACACTTGTCTTCTCTACTGATATATGCTTTTTTTTATTTTTTTTATTTTGGGATTTTGTATGTTCTAGATTTGGAATGCTACATTAATTTCGTTCGGATTTTCTTATTGAATTCTTTGATAGTCTCATAAAAAAGTGAGAGAGTGCTGTGATGTGTTCTTTATGATAATGCGGGTTTTTTAACGAAATTTATGTTTCTTAAAAATCCAAGTATCTGTTTTATTGTGGATTAACCCAGAAAACTTCAAACTCCGATTACCAACCAAGAACTCGATTTTCAGAAGAAAACTCTAAATTTCAGATCGCACAGAGAAAAGGAAAAACACAATCAAGAACAGAGAAGAGAAAGAATATGCACACACGATTTACCGAGGTTCGGCCAAAAACTTTGACCTACGTCCCCGTTGAGCAGCAGCTTGCTCGTTGGCTTCTTCACTATGATCAAATATATTCCCCAAATTAAGTCATTTTGAGTTCTTTACCAATATTTTGTAAATTAATAACACATTAATTTACGATTAGTGTGCTGAAAATTATGATACATATACATAATTAAAAATTCCCTGTGATTAGCCAGAGTTCTTTATGATAATAAAAATTTTATGATTCTTTATAATCCAAGTTTCTTCGTTATGGAATCCATATTTCTTTACTGATGATGCATATAATACTAGTGTATTGTGAAGGCAAACGTAATAGTGCTTCATTCTACAAAACCACGTCTGAAACATAAGACCACATATTCATTATTGGACAAATTAATAGGTCATATCACAAAATACTCTCAAACTTTAATTTGTAATATTTATTCTCCTCAAATTTTAAAACGCTTTCAAATTCTCCCATTCTATTAAAATTTTAACGAAATTGAGTATATTTTTGTAAAAACACCCATTTTCCCCCAATTCCTTTAATAATTGATTGAGCCGTGTTTATTTTATCTTCTTTCATTAATTAACTTCTTACCTCAATTACCAATTGATTGCAAAAGTTTCAATGTTTACAAAAATGAAAATAGATTTAAAGAACATTTTGGACTCATTTAGTAACATTTTTAAAATAATTTTGTTTTTAATTTAAAAATAAAAATAAAATTATTTTGAGAATTAAATTAAACTAAAATTACCGCTCGTTGTCCTCCAACGGAAGCTTCATAGCAAAACCAACTATACATACGTACATATAATATATATATATATATATATATGTGTGTGTGTGTATGAAAATATTATCTTCACTAAAACGTGTGCAGTTGAAGTTCGACTTCTAAAGTGAAATTTCTTTTCTTGGTCAAAGCTCTATCTCTCTCTCTGTGTATACATACACATAGAGACAGTTGATAAAAATGGTCCCCCAACAAATTTTGTCTTGTCTGTGAGAGAGAAAAAAAAAAAAAAAAAAAAAAAAAAAAAGAAATCTGTTACGAGTAGGGGTAAATTACGTTTAGTTGGAGGATTCAAACTACGATTTGAATCATAATTCATAATTCACTATAATATTTTTTTTTACAAAAAATACACATAAATTAAAAAGAATTCTAATAATATAATTCTAATTCATAAACTAATTACTCCAGTTCGATAATTTTGAAATTATATTCGGTTAATTTTCCTTTTTATTTTTAAACATAACATAATTCATAGACTATTTTTATTATTGTGTCTTAAAATGCGTGTAAAAACGTGTCAAAAAATAATCTAAACTAATTTCGAACGCACATTTTTCAAATCCCCATATCACCTCCGTGCTATCCCACAATTCAAGGAGGCCAATCTTGACTCTTCTGCGTTGCAGGGATTCTAGAAGCTTCATTTGCTTCGCCATCAACGACGATTTGAGAGAGAAGATGCAGATTAAGTTGGGTGGTGGGTCAGGGATTAGCTCTGCTGTCAAGTCCAGGTCTAGTAGTGAGACCCTTGTTTCTATATTTTTGAAGAAATTCCTATATTTGGGTGTCGAGAAATTATTTAACAGAACCCAAAAAATCATGGGTTTTCTCTTTCTAAATACAAGAAACATGGATTTCATTTGGTTACAATAGCTAATTACTTGTGTTTCTAACTTCATTGACAGAGCCCTTTGTTGTTCCTGAGCATTTCTTATGCTCAGTTCATTAGTCTTTGCGTTGTTGTGTTTGGCTTTGTTGAGCAGCTCCTTGTTTCGAGCTTTGATGAACCATAAAAGCTTCTTTACTCAGAGCAAATAAGAAGATAGACGAGAGATTTGGCAAAAAAAAAACAAAAACAAAAAAAGCGACAACTTAATACCTTATTACACTTATTTCAGCGGCAATTTTGTAATTGCACGTAATACCCTCACTCTTGTTAAGAATCCACGCCACGTGTCAATTTTGTCTATGATTTGTCGATGATCATTGGGCCCGTTTAGTTCGCTGCTTCGAGTTTTTAATTCGAGTTGAGATGTGATTTTATGTGAGAGCTTTTTACTGTAGTAAAAAAGTTAGATGTAATTATTTGTGAGAGCTTTTTACTATAGCAAAATTCAAATTCTAAACTCGAATTAGCGAAATGAATGGGGCATAGTGTTGTGATGGTTTTCTTTATGATAATACAAGTTTCTTTGTGATAATGAGGGCGCTCAAAATTGGAAAAGAAAAATCATTAGTCATCATGAACTAAACAAAAAAATGCCGTTTAAAAAATATATTTAAATTATTATTTGAGTTTTTATTCTTGTGAGAGAACTATTAGTAGAAATTTTATTATTTAAATTCTGTCTGAAAAGAAAACACTGCAAACAAAGAATTTTATTAAATACATGTACCAAACAATCCCTGAAACAATGTAGAAAAACAAAATGAAAATAAAATATATATATATATATAAA